TGAGATATTTTAATTTAAAAATTTAAAAAAAATTACTAAAAATGATTTGTCCCTTTTCTATTGACTCACCCCCATATTTATATACATTAATATATAGTTGCTGACGTAGAGATTGAGGTTGTATCCGTTGAGAAATCCTTGTCCAAGTATTATCAATTACTCGGGCCATTCGGGCTAAATTGTTATACATTTCAAGACCCGGTTACAATCACCAAATTACAATTTAACAATAATATTATGCAGTTTGCTACAGCTGTCAAACCGTATAATGCTACGTAATGCTAAGTCATATAATTTAATACCCTATCAATAAAAAAATACCTAATTTATTTTCATTAATTTGTTGATAATTAAACGCATTATTTAATAATATAATTCATTTTGTCAGAAATATCATCTATATTAAACCTAATCTACAAGCTATTACTGAAATTAATATAAACTTAAAATAAGTTTATCAAGTATACAAATTTGAGAAATTGAGATAATCTGATAATCTACATACGATGTTAATACGTACCATGCTTCGAGCTCGAAATGTGTTAAGAATAATTTATATATTTAGAGCTCAATATTCGTTAATAATGTCACACGACTCGTTAATTAACAGTGTTTAAAAAAATATTGGAAGACACCTGGATTAGCAAACTATATTGATAATTAAATAATTAAATTGAATGGAAATTGACTTCAGCTGTCAAATAACATCCACTTAACCTTTATGACTAAAATTGAATTCTCCGCTACAGTCCGAATAATAAACAAGGCCTTATCTTATGCCAAGTATATTAAAACAAGTTATACAAGTTCAATAAAATTTAATATATATTATCTAAGTTTAATTCCATTATTGCTCGTTTAATGGGACTATAGTCTCTAGCATTGCCATTAGAAACACGTCCAACTTCCACAACATCCCAAGAACCATCATCTTTTTTTATAGCTGCACACATTATCACTGCTTGTGAGTTGGCAGCGGTTTGAATTGTATAATTACATAATTGTTTCTTATCAGATGAATCTTCATCATATAATTTAAAACTTGGTGCAATAAAATCACCAATGTGTGGACATTTCCAAGCACTGAGAACAAAATAAAGTTTATTAACCACATCTGGAAGCTTATCTAATTTGATAGTTATTCGATGGTGGCCTATGCAAAAATATAGTATAAAGAAATTTTAATTCATTACTGTATTATAGAAACATTTCGAGTAATTAAATAAATGTTCTGAAATATGTACCTCGTCTATTATGATCATCCATGACATCACCAGAGTGTCTTATATATGGATGAACTGAATCAAATCTCTCCTTGTAATCATATTTCTTCCAAAAGTCTTTACCAGTATATATTAAACAAGTTCCATCAAGATAATCTTTTCCCCTTAGTGGATACCCCCAATATAGATCAAATGCCAAATTACTAATGGTTTCATCTCTAGATATAGCATACATTGTAACGATAAGTTGAATATGATCACCGGCTCTAATTCCGTAAGTTGAAAGTTTATTCTCTCCTTGTCCATTTTGTTGACGGACCTATGTTTATAAAAAAAAAAAAAAGAAGATTTTAAAAATCATTTATAAAATAATTTATATTTAAATAGATACTAACTTGTAATTCAACTCCTTTATGTAATAATTTTTGTTTCGAACCATCAACCTTTATCTTTTTTGTTAATTCTGCTTTCAAAACTCTAACTGTTTGGATATCTTCAAGCTTTAGTGAATATTTATCACCACTTAGTAGAACAACAAAAAATTCTCCTTTTTGAGTCGCTGGATCGTTTAATGAACTATTATTATTGTTCGTATTATTTGCACGTGAATTTTTAAATAAACTGTCAATATCAATTTTAAATGGAGCTTTTTCCCATGCGATTTTAAATCCATTTATTTCACTTTGGGTTAGTTGGGCTGGACATTCTGGACATTTTGTTTCATTATGTGTATTGCCTCTTTGTAAATGGAATATTAAACACTTGATTCGCCAATGTTATTCAAAACATTGTCAAAATCATTAAATAAATTAATGAGATTTGAGATTCGATTTTATCATCTTATTTATTGCTAAACTTTTAAAACTCTAATTATCAAAATTACCTTTAAACACCAAGTCGGAACATGCGTACATTTTTCGGTAATCGTATCTAAGGGAAATTCTTTCGAGAGTTTAGTCGTTTGACAATTAGAACACTTCATTATGAATCCACGATATAAGATAACTCTAAATTTTGTGCTTTATTAAAAGGATTATGCGCTCTTGCATTAAATTATCGATCGTTGTTGCTTTTCTCTTAAAAAAGGTATTACCGGACATCATCAAAATATCTTACTAAATAAATAAGTCTTTGTCGGAACATTTACTCCGATACAAACAAATGTGCATGAAAATCATTTTATTGGTTATCGATTTGAATATTTACTTTTAATCAAGTAATCGAACACTTAATTATTCGAATCGTTTTATTAAGACGATTCAAATGGTACTAAAACAATTAGCGTTCATTTACTGGATTCTATGTGTTATTTTTATTATCGTGGTTTTCGAAATGGTTGAAAATGGGTAAAAAAAAAATTTTTTTCGAGTATACCCGTATACTGCGTATACTCGTATACCGGCACATTGATTGAAGATCGATGCTTGATTTACTTATTGTTACAAACAAGAAGTACGTACGTATGTATGTAATCAAACATCGATCTTAAATCAACGTGCTAAGGTAATCCGGTATATGAGTATACGCAATATACAGGTATATTAGAGAAATTTTTTTTTTACTCATTTCTACCATTTCGAAACCGCAATAAAAATATTCAAACATGCATGATTTACAGGTTTCCTTGGCGTCAATCATATGAGTGCATGAGAGTGAAACCTTGGTTCACGGTAGCGAACTTAGCCCCTGAAGAATTATGATATTAGGTATCTGTGTGATTTGTTGTCTTATAGTTCAATAATTATATAATATAGTATCATATGATAATATGAGGTGGTACAGTGATAATTTTTTTGATCAGAGAATGCCGCGAAGTGACATTTTCTGAATAATCAAAAAAATTATCGCGTACCAATGTGATGTATCTCAGAATTATCATGCTATATTGG